GCCACAGCACACATCTGTCTGCCCGCCTTGCATGGGTCTAGCCTTTGGGGCAGGGCTGCGTCTCCAGCACCCAGTGAAGTGCTGAGTGGGGAGGAAAGAAGAAATTCCTCTAACAGGAGTCAGGAAACAGAGGCTCTGGACCTGTCTTGCCACAGCATGACCTTGGGCCTGTCCGTGCCCTTCTCTAGACCTCAGTTTCCCCATCTATACCATGAGACAGTAAACAGATCTTTAAGATTTTGTGTGTGGCTGACATTCTGTGACTTCACTGGGCACAGTACTGACCACAAGACCATGCATAGCCATGCCCAACATCTGGCCCTTCCCTGGATAGGCTGTTTTTTAAGCCTCTGCTCCTTTTCACATGTTATTTTCTCTGCCTGGCCTATCCTGTTTTTTTCCCATGCAGTACATTTCTTGAACCTCATTGACAGAGGGTGAGCTAACCACCTCTTCAGCTTGAGAGACATTCATCATCCATTCCATACCATACCCTTCTGTTTAGTTTTTCCTTTCAGCCCTAATCCCTGTTCCACCCCCAGCTCCCAACGTGGCCACTCCATGGGCCTGATACATGTCACATGTTATCTAACCTTGTAAAATATCTGCTCCTCTGGCAACGGGTGCCCATGCCACCTCTACCTCTCCATTTTCATAAACACCACCCTATGAGTGTCCTTGGACGTCTCTCAGGTACCTGAGGAGAGTTGCTTTAAGGTATATATCTAGGATTGGCACTGCTGGTCACAGGTATGTGAGTCAGTCTAATAGGGGAACAGAAACTACTTGAGTATTTGAAACAGAGGGACTTGAGTGCAGGGAACTGGTTACCCAGGGAATGACAGGGCAGAGAAGCCACGTGGGGACAGTGAGGCAGTCAGAAGTAAGTCACAGCAGGAAACTGTGACCTTCCCAGGCTGGAGAGCAGGAGAGAGATGTTATCTAGTAAAGCTGGCATCATAACTGACTGGTCCTGACCCCTGGGGGGAGGGGTAGCTGCTGCTTGGAGATGCCACCTGAGGCTGAGAGGAGGAGGAGCAATGCCCTGGCTCCTTCCTTCCTCCCACCCTCCAGCTTCCTGTCAGTGACTCTCAGCGGAAGTGAGCTGGCAAAGAGCCTGGGGAACACAACCGGCAGGGAGAGGATCCCTGAGACAGCACAGCAGGTGAAGGACGAGAAACACAGATCTTAGGGCACACCAACCTGGGACTGTCACCTCAGCAGGTATATACTCAGAATCCCTAAATCTGCCAGACTGCCCTCCAGATGGCTGTGCCAGTTTAATACAGCCCGCATTCTTGCCAACACTTAGCATTAGCCAACCTTCTAATTTTTTTAAAATCGATGGGTATAAAGCAAAATCTTGCTGTTTTATCTTGCATTTCTCTCAATTACCGGTGAGGTCGAGCATCTCTGCACATATTTATCAACAATTCAAGTTTCAGCTTCTGTGAAACAGCCTCTTATTGGTTTGCAAATAGTTATTGTATAATCTAGCTATTACTCCCTTGTCAGATTTAGATAGTGAAAGTATCTTCTCCCCATCTGTTAACTTGGTAGCCTTCATTTAAAAGGAAATCTTTAATTTTGGTGTAGTCACACTTACTATATTATTACTCTCATTTGCCTTAGGGCTTTGTGTTTTAGTATCTTTTTCAGAAGTCTGTCCCCACTTGCCAGCTTTATGACCTTGGACAGGTGTGTCCCCTTAGTTTCCTTTATTATAATTCTATAAGCCTAAAACTTTAGAGAGATAGGAAGAAACTTGGTATTTTCTCCAGGTTTCCTATGTGGCCCAATTTTGAGTTATTGTCTAAGGGAGGTGTAGTTATCACTAAACAAGGCTTAGTTTTCTGAGGTGTTAACTTCTCCAGGAACATACTAGACATTGTCTTCACAAACAACACATTAGAAATAGCAAGGCAGAATATGAAGGGAAGATGCATGTAATAAAATTGGTTTCCAAGCCAGGACCCTCTCGGGAAACTAAGTAAAGGAAGTAAATACAAAACTGCAAGTTGGCATTTCTCAGGTCTCACTTTCCTCAGGTGTCATGTCTCAAGGAAATACACATATCTCAAGTTCATTTTCATTCCTATCATGTCTTTAAAGGGTTAACAAACTGATATGTTTCATGGCTGTGGAGAGACAGAAAGAGCTTTGTACACAGATGGCAGACAGACCCCAGTCTAACATGGAGCCAATCTGTGATTTTTCACAACACCCCACTTCTTTGAAGTGCAATTTTGCCTTGACCTGGAAAATAATATTTATCATGTAAAGTTCTTACCTAAGAAGCTTCAATCAGGGAGTGGGAATGGAAGCTTGCAACTTATATAGATTTTTTAATCACCTGCTATGTGCTAGGCACTAGGATTACTTCTTCCCACTTAATTCTCACAATCCCCACAGGAGAGAAATTTATTATCCCCATTTTACAGATGGGAAGACTAAGATATTCAGAGATTTGGAGTGGTTGTCAGTTCCCCAGGCGCAAATAGCTAGGACTGCTTGCCCTGCCCTTATCTAGACAGGAAACATGGAGTTATTGGGCATGCGGACTGTAGCTCTTCTATTATGATGCTATCATAACACAGATGATGCTACCCAGGTCTTTCCTTGGTCCCAGTTTAGGTGTTCTTGCAGCCCTGGCAGCCCTAGGGATTCCCAAACTTAGCTGCAGAGGCTTGGGGGTTCCCTGGAGATAGGCATGGAGTGGTTCCTATGATTCCAACCAAATGGTGAAGGTCTGGAAGGACCTCACTCACCCCAAGGGCAAGACCCCTCCAGGAGATACAGGTTCCCGTGCATACAACAGGACCCAGAAACAACCAGGGGAGTCCCCAGGAGAGAGGCTTCCTCTTAGCCCTGTGGGTCCAGGAAATTTTGCAGTCCCCCAGCCCCCTATTCCAATCCCAGGAGATGAAGCTGCCTACAACCAGTGGGTGGACACAGGGCAGAGGACCCTGAGGGTGGCAGAGGGCGTGGTACCACAACTTGGGCTAAACACAGCCGTGGGCATAGGGGCTCTGTCATTGCCACCCTTGAGTGTCACCTACCCACTTAGGTTAAGGGTCCTGGGGTCAGTGGTCTGACCACGAAACCAGATATCCCCTCCCCACTTTGAGACTGGATAAATTTCCCTCCAAACCCCATTCACAGGAAACTCCCAGGACCCAGTCAGCAATGCTGATGCTTCTCCACTCAGGCACATGTCAGCTGACAAACAAGGCATCAGGCAGACTGTAGGAGCAATGGATCTCCTCTCCTTTCTCAGAAAATAACTATTAAGTCACAAAACATCAGAACTGGGAGGACCTTCAGAGATGGTCCATCAAACCTGCCTTATGGCACAGGTGGGAAAACAGGCTCAGAGATGGCAAGCCAGGATGCACAGTACAGCAGCAGCCAGCTGGGCCTCCATTCCCAGCAGTGCTCTCAGCTCAAATGATTCCTAGCAGCCCCCATGATAAAAGCCCTCCTCCCTGGAGACCACTGCAGATTTGCTGCTACTAAGAAACCAGGATATTTCTCTGTATTTTGAAAACTCAAAGGCATTGCCCTCTCGTTTTTAAATTTTCTCCCTGATTCATTTGGGCTCATGTGGTTTACAGAAATCTTGTTTCTCCCAAGAAAACCACAAAGAAATGATGGCTTCCTGTATAGAATCCCTGGGAAGTGTAGGACTCAAGAAACATTCTGCTTCTCCTGCAGAGCCCATGGGGACTGAGAGGGATCCCAAGCCTAATGTCTCCCAGGGAGCAGCCTTGTGATGCTGGGACAAGGATCAGAGGCAGACGTGGCTGGTGAGGCAGAGAAACAGCGACTAGGAGTTGACTTGGTTGCAGGTTGCAGTTTTGTCACTGATTTGTTGTGTGGCCTCGGGCGAATACCATCCTATTCTGGGCCTGTTTTATCTCCCATAATTTGGAGGAAAGATGGAATATTCGAAGTGCCCTTCCAGAGCCCCAGTTCCCCGCTACTGTCCCTGGACACCACCTCCATCCTTCCTTCTGTGCTTGCAAAGCCTGGGAGGGGTGGGAGGGTATTTCCCAGTGAGTTTTCTTTCCATTTAAGATTTACTATGTGACTTGTCCACATTTTTCTGGAAGTGGTAGTGGTTGGGTAAGGAGCTCCCTAGGTGCTTTGTCCAGATATGACCAGAGAAATTGGGAAAGACAATCTACAGATCACTCTGGGCTGACATTGCTGCCACAGGATGATGTTAATTCTGCTGTTTACAGAAATAAGTCCAGTGTGAGTGGAGGCATTTTGGTGTTAAAAACCAGATGGTATTTCCTGCCTTGATCAGCCTCAGAGCTTTGGTTCCCATGACAACCCTGGGGTTCCACCTACTGCAACTTCCCTGTTCTCCAAGCCTCTTCCTCTCCCACCATTGTGCCAGGAGCCCTGGAGAATAAAGCCACTAGGTAGCATGTACAAAGCACTTTATACAGTTTATAACACACTCCAATATTTATCTCGTCTACTCCTCACCACAGCTTTGCCAGATAGCACTTGGTGTTCTATTTTACAGATGGAAATCAAGGCCTCAGAGATGAGATGGCGTACCCTCCCAGCCCTCATGCGTGTCAGCAGGAGCCAAACCCAGGTTTTATGACTTTGGACCTCAGGTGGAGCCCACGAAACCAGGACAAATACAAATGCCCTGCCCTGCAGCCAATCTACTTCCTTGTGAAGCCCAAGTGGTCAACTCTATACATACATTGGGTCAGGATCAAGGTGTGGCACCTTTAGGAAAGTTACTGAACATCTCTGTGCCTCACTTTCCTCATCTGTAAAACAGTTGGTAATCATGGTATATCTGGATGGGTGACAGCATCATATTGGTATGTTTATAAAATCACAGTAAATGCTTACAGGATTTGAAGGGAGACCTGAGAAGCATGGGTGAGTTCAGTTCTACTCTAGCCATCGTGTGACCTTGTAGGTGGTTTTGCTTGTTGGAGCCTGTTTCCTTCTCTGTGTAAGAGGCAACAGCCTCAGGGTGCTCATGTGGATGTTGTGCAGGATGAGATTAAAGCATGGAAGGGCCTTGGAGAGTACCTCTTCTCATGCTGCAGCACGCACATGCATCCCCAGGGAACCTTGTGAAGATGCAGGTTATGGCTTAGTCATGTGAGGCATGCTTGCTTTTCTTACAAGCCTCCAAGGGATGCCAAAGTTGCTGGTTCACGGACCACACTTTGAGTAGCAAGACTGTACCTAAGAAAGCACCATGCAAGTGCTATTAACAACGAGTCATGCAGAGGGCCATGCTCACAGCCTTCCAGTTACAAGCTCAAAAACTCAAAAAGCTTGGAGGGCCCACTGGGAGTGTCAGCAGGAACCCATTTGGAGAGTTTTCCCAGGTGGGAGTTTTCTGTCAGGAAAAGGGTTCCTACACCTCTAGCTCTTGAACCCCTAACGGGGCTCTGTTGACAGCTACACCTGATCTTGGGGCTTTCAAAAGAGGATGTAAAAATATTCTTACATCTTGCACATCAAAATATACTCATTCATAATTAACTTATGCAATTATTTGAAAATAAAAATACACGTTTTAATTTAAAAAAAGTGTGGCCCAGGAATGTTTAAGTGATCCATGTTCAAGACCATGGTGGAAAGTGGATCAAAGTAGAGCTGTTACACAGGTCTAAAGAAGACACCCTGCACCTTGTGCTCTTTTGTCCAATTCTTTCTTTGCATCTTGCCCTACACAATGTGGGTTGTAAACTGAATTATGTGTGTTAAGTTCATTGCTATTTACCAAACAAATATTTTCCACTCATTCTTGCAATTCATTTGGCCAGTTGCATTCCTAGGCCTTGCCTCAGGTCCATATCCCAGCTCCCCTGCTACCAGCTTGGGGTTCACTGATGTGGCAAAGCACATTCTCTGCACTGTGGCTGGTGCACAGCTCCTGTGGCCTGACCCCCAAGGAAATGGGAGAGAAAACAAACATTTAAACACAGCTAATGCCCATGAGCACTCACCCTGTGCCAGGTACCATGTTGAACATTTCACCTGAATTATCTCAGTTAATCCTCATGCTACCATATGAACCCGGATTGTTATCTCTCCAGTGGGTCCTAACCTCCACGGAAGCAGGGACTTTGCTTAGCTTCCTAGTGCACTCCAGTGACTAGGACGGTGCTTCATCAGCAGGGCTGAAGGAGTTTGTAAATCCTTGTTTCAGCAATCGAGAAACAGATAAGCCTTCACCTACCTGAGGAAGGCCATCGCCACCTCCAGTGCCTCCCAGCAGGCCTGGGACTCCAGGCGGCCCGAAGGGCATTGCCTCGGAGAATTCTGTCTGACACAGGCTCTTGACCGCTGTCCCACATGACATAATAAAGTCAGTTTGCCCGGAGGCCCCCTCACCCATGAAGCCAGCCTCCAGAAGCCACAGCGACACTCGGGTACAGCCTCCAGATCCAGATTCTTCTTCGTGGCTGAGGCTCCTCTCCATGCAGGCCCCAAATACCCATTTAAAAAGTCCCTGCTCACAGGCTGGGTTCCCTGGGAGCAGACTCTGGGAGGGGAATAGCCTGCAGCATGCAGTTTAGGGACTGGTCTTGGAAGGGACACCTGGGGCACGGCAGGGGAATGTGGGAAGAGTTGGGGTCGTCTCACCAGAGGTACAGGGACTGGTGAGGAGGTGGGGGTAAGTGGGAGTGGTGGGGCTGGGGCCCCTAGGAGGAAGCAGCAGCTGAAGGAGGCCTTTGGCCAACAAGCATCATCCATGCCAACATGGAAGTGCTCTGAAAACACTCATCTGCGACTCAAAGGAATGTTTTTGATTGTGATGAAAGTAAAGACAATCAGCTGAAAGAGCTGCGAGCAAGTGAAGCACAGAAGCAGCTCCAACCTGTGAAGAAAGGAAATGAGGAAAGCCGTGCCAAGAAGGTCCAGAGCACATGGGGATAGCGGGTGCTTGGAGAAAGTTCCCACCTCCCAAAGGGGCTGCGTCCGGGAGCCAGGACGTGGGCAGCCCTGCCTCACTCAGGAAGCCATTTCTCCCTGGGCTCTGGAGACACTGGTTTGGGACACTCAGTCCATCTAGACCCCTCCCCTCCCAGCAAGGGGTGTGTGCAGCTGCAAACGGGAGGGAGACCCTGGTGTGGTTACCATCTTTCACATAATGGCAAGGTTGAGATGGACTAATTGAAAGGAAAGGGGTAAAAGACCAGCCAGGTCAGGAGCTCCCCTTTTCTATCTTTTAAAAAAAATTATGGTAAAATAGAACATAAAACTTACCATTTAAAAGTGTCTATTTTAGTGGCATTAAAGACACCCACAATGTACAGCCATCACCATTACCTAGTTCCAGAACTTAAAAAGGAACCCCCTGCCCCACCCATTAAGTAGTTATTCCCCATCCCAACTCCTAACCCCTCTCTACCTCTACGGATTTGCCTTTTCTGGACATTTAATGGAATCATACAATATGTGTGATTTCACTTAGCATGTTTTCAAGGTTTATCCATGTTGTCCCATGGATCTATATTTCATTCCCTTTTTATGGCTGAATAGTATTTCATTGTGTGGCTGTTCCATGTTTTGTTTATCCATTCATTCATTGAAGGCTATCTGGATTGTTTCCACCTTTTGGCTTTTGTGAATAGTGCTGCTATGAATATTTTGCATGCAGGTTTTTGCTTGAATACTTATTTTCAATTCTTTTGGGCATATACCTAGGGGAGGAATTGTGGGAGTTTATGGTAATTCTGTGTTTAACATATGGAGGAGTATCAATATATTATTGATATTCCCCTTCTTTTGATAGATTTTCATAGAATCATAGCACAGAAGGGATCTCAAAAGTGACCCAGAAGTGTTTCTCAGGCATTTGAATTTCACACATCAGTAAAACTAAAACTACCATCACCACTACCTCTTACCCCAAAGGAGGAGGGACCTCCTTCAGAATCAGGGCCAACCCTGTAAAATGTGTATATTTAGTGTAAGGCAAACTCATTGCACTGTAGTTTTTCTCACAACACCTACACCTTTTGGAAATGACTTGCCTGGTCCATCCACCTGAATTCCCTTCTCCAGCCGCCCCGGTATGGGCTCACCCAGGCTCTGTCAGGGGCTGCGGGTGGGGGGCTTTCTGGGGGATACTCCCCTCCTAGGTAGCTCTGGTTCCTGGAATGTCCTTTCATGGAGAGCTGACTGCTTCAGTCTCCCCAGTATCTATCCGCCTTCCAGGGCCCCCCAGACCTGGTCTTACTCCACCTGCTTAAGGACTAGACCTATGCCACCCTCTGCTCCCTGAATGCTCTATAGGGCTGAGCATGCCAACATGAGACTGATAGGAGAGGTGCGGATGGAGCAGTCTCCCTGACTTGTAAGAATTTTTAGAAAGAACAAAGAGAATCTCCATGTTATTTATAGTATTTCATAGCACTACACGCTATCCAAAATTATGAACAAGCCATACAGACTAACAGGTTTTATTTTTCCTGTTGGTTGGGCTTATACCAACTCAGCGTTCCTCTCTGTGCTGAAAGGCAGCATGGAAGGAATGTGGACTCTTCCTCAGCATGAGAGGCGAGGCCACATTCAAGCCAACTCCCCCTTGTTAGCTGGGGACCTTGGTGAGGTCAGATAACATGTGTGCCACAGCCCCTGAACTGGGAGAAGAGGAACTTGAAGGCTGCCACCCAGGGAAAATGGGGCGGAGGTGAGGCGGCTTACAGAAGCATGGGCACTTGCTCTGTAAAGGTACTGCTGGAAGAAATCTGAGCAGCAATTTATGCCTTTAATGAGCAAAATCAAAGTGAGAGGACAGACTCACGGTTATTTAATGTATGTTTGGCAAACAAAAATCCTTCAAAGAACCCTCTGTATGGAAATAATAATAAAATAGTAATAAAATGAAGTGTTTAATGGTGAGGAACAGGGAAACCTGCTCTATAGGGCTGAAATCAATTAGCATCCTTGACTCTTACCAAAAAATACAGTGGCCCTGCTGAGGACCTGGCCTCAGGCTACCTCCCACCCCCACCACCAAGGGGCAAGGGGGCCAAAGGCTCCCTGCAGAGGACAGTCAGGCCCTGGCTCCGTCCACCTTAGGGAGCTGGCTCGTGCCTGGGGAAGGCCCAGAGCAGGGTGCCTGGATGGCCTCCACCTTGGGAAGGAAGCTGAAGACCAACGAAAGGGGCTCCCTGCCCCAGCCACTACCAGTGCTCTCTGCGGCACTTCCCTTCTGTCAGCCCCGAGCCCCCAGCTCCGGTGACTCACTGTCTACAGCCTGGCTTCTCAGCTGGAGGGCTGCAATGTCAGGCAGGGTCTAATCCCCTTAGGCTGCAGGTTACAGAGGAGCAGAGTCCCTCTGAGGCCAGCGGGAGCCTGGCAAGCCCTCCAGAAATCAAATTTGAGGACAATCCACTCAGGGAGGTGACTCACCTCCCACCTCCCCCAGGAAGGAGATGCATTCATTCTCTCTAGTCTGTCCTACAGGATTTCGTACTGACTTTATCAAGGGAAACATCAGGTCTCCTTACATGTTGAACGCAATCTATTGGTCAAAAATATGTGATTATCGTGCTTGAAATGGACAAGAACAGGCAGGCATAGATGACGCTTCACGCCTTCGGGCTGGGCTGCAGGATCTTCCCAGGAAGGAGCCCAGCCTTCAGGAGGTAGCTCAGGTCAGCACAGCTGTCCACAGCTGTCTACCCAGGGCCTGGCCTGCACAGCAGTGACTTTGGGCAGCTCCAAGGCAAAAGTAGGTCGGAGAGGTGTCCTGCCCGTTCTGCGCTTTGGACTGGCTCTTGTGACTAGGCTGGAATACCTTCTCTCTGTCCACCTTGCTGGGAATCATAATCACACGAACACCCTGCGTCAAGGCAGCTGGGGGGCTGGGACCCTCTTCCAGCCCTCACTTCCTCGGGGCTCTGATGCCAGCAGAATCTAAGCCGCTGCCACCTTTGGCTGAGGCTGCTTGTTCTGGCCTCATTCTCCAGCCACGGCTTCACGAGGCAGACGGAAGGCAAAAGAGGGGAGAAGGGAAAGGTGAGAGGGAAGAGATTGATTTCAAACGTGCAGCCACTGTGGAGCTCTTTACACATCTTCCACATGGTGTGAAAAGGGCTTTCTCACATTCTTCTGACCCTCAGCACCCTGGGGAGAGCCATCCCTTTGTACCCTGAGGGAAACTGAGGTTCAAGGGGAGGAAGACAATGCCTGGTGTTACCCAGTGAGAAGTGGCTGAGCCAAAACCCAGGGCTAGTGCTGACCCTAGATTCAGTGCTCGTTCCAGGCTAACAGACTGCTTGTACGCATTTCAAAGAAAAGAAGCAAAAATCAGAAAAAGCAGGTATCTAACTCACCCCCAATGACATGAAAATCCACAAATGTTACGTGCCAACTGCCTTCACACATGCAGTCTCCCCACCGGGGTGCCCTTGCTCTTCACCTGCCAGCTCTCCCATGGGCCTGCCCAGGCCATGCCTCAGCTGTCACTGGTGACATTCTCCAAGCCACAGACCTAGCACACGCCTTTGTTACCAGACTCCTAGCATGGCTTAGCACTGTTGTATCTGTGTGCTTGTCTCCTCCAAGATAAA